CTCGATCCCAGGACCCTGGGACCATGACCTGGGCCGGAGGCAGACGCTTAACGACTGAGCCACCCAGGCGCCCCAAGAATAAGTACTTTTGATAAGCATTAGCTCTTATTGTTTATTATGTTAGCCTCAGTGTGGCCCACTGGCTAAGATCTGGCAGCACACGCGTGAAAGGTTTATGGCTGAGTGGTATGGTGTGCCATTCCATCCACGGAGACCCAGAGGACTAGGAACTGCCTCCTTCCCAGCTCAGCGCACAGCTACAACGGACAGCTGTGTGTCAGAGGTGAAATGTTTTTATTTGGGTTCATCACAGAGATTGAAGAGAGTCTTATGACACTCATCCGTATAAAATGCCGTAAAAGTGGTTGCAGGCATAAATAAGAATGACTCTCACTATTCTACTTTATAATGCACAGTCCTTTTTGATCACAAATAAGTATATGAAGTTAAGCTGCAGAAATAGTCTAGTTTGATTTCAGCAATTTCTAAAAATTGAATTATAAAATTAAAGACTCATAAAAAAGATGCTTTTTAAATGGAACCAGCCACCTGGAAAAATGTCCCGAAAAACATGGTTAAAACTTAATACTTCAAAAGGTAACAAAATAAAAATGTTGCTTGTTGGCCTGACTTTTCAGGACCTAGACCTCTGGGAGCTCCGGGCCTCGGTGAAGTAACCTAACAAGCCGCTCGGATCAGTGTCAGATGCAAACAAAATCACTCTTGATTTCGGTCTATAAACGGAGACAGGATTCCCTCATTGCCGGATGACTTGAAAAGAAGCTTTTGCTTCCACTATGCATTTGGCCTCACAATCTTCATTGACAAGTAATTCTAAAAAGAAAGCAGAATGTTAAAAAAAATAAATGAGTTAGGGTTTCTCAGCCTTGGCACTACTGCCATTTAGAACCACGTGATTCTCTGTCATCAGGGACTGGCCCGTGCCCTGCGGTGTGTGCAGCCTTCCTGGCCTCTACCTGCCCCGTGTCCGCGGCAACCCCCAGGGGTGCCAACCATCCTACCGAGAGCAAAACTGCCATCAGTTGAGAACCACTGGTTTAAATCAATAGAATCTAAGTCAGTAAGAAGAAATTACTGTTTTTTTTTTTTAAAGATTTTATTTATTTATTTGACAGAGACAGAGAGAGCAGGAACACAAGCAGGGGGAGTGGGAGAGAGAGAAGCAGGCTTCCTGCCGAGCAGGGAGCCCGATGTGGGACTCGATCCCAGGACCCTGGGATCATGACCTGAGCCTAAGGCAGCCGCTTAATGACTGAGCCACCCAGGCGTCCGAAATTACTGTTTTTTAAATGGTCAAGACAGATCGGACTAGTGGCAAGTATAAACCAGTGTACGTGTGCATTAACAAACGAAGTATGACACTAGGGACAAATAGAGACCTTACATCTCTGCTGTGTGGTTGTGACTATGTTACCCTCCACAAAAACATCTGTATTATTTCCAGTACGAGTCGAAGGAAGAGACTTTAAATGCCTGGACTGTCCCTTCTCCACTTGGCAAAATGGGCTTTACCTCCTTGGTGAAACCATCCTCAGCCATAGGATCCTATGCTCATCTGTTCCTATCTCTATAAAAGCTTGTCTTTCATAATAATTTACTTATTCATATGTCTGCTTGTCCCCAGGCCATGAACTGTTCGTGGGTAAGGAATCAAGCCTTGGTCATCTCAACACCCTGATTCCTAGCCCGTAGTAGATGCTCAATAAATCCCTCGAATGAAAGAATGAAGGTACGACTTCTGGGCACACAGGCAAACCTCCCATCTAGACTCCCATTTATGACTAAGGTGATTGAGGAAAATTTAAGGGAGAGGTTATGTGATGCAGGCCTTAAAGAACAAGTAAAGTTTTGATAGACACAACATGGGCAAGGGAACAGCATTGGCAAAGGCTTCCTGGCAGGTAAGGGCAATACCTGTGGGGGAGCTGTGGGCACTAGCTAGTTTGGGTGGAGTTCAGGGTTAATGTGGACCTATACTGAGCCCAGATTTGGGGATCTGTGGATGCGAGGAGAAGGAGTTAGCTTGCAGGATGGTTTGGGACAAGAAAGTGTGAAGGTAGGAAGATCAGTCAGATATGCTGGCTATTATCCTGACCCACATTGCTAAAGGTCTGAGGGGTTTCTCCTAGAATTCCTGAAACCAAAATTTTTTTCAAACCAGGAAGTTCTGCCTATAATTTGTGACACCCTAAGAATGTCGTTCTCATCACAACACACATCACTTTAAATTTCCCACAGGCTGAAGGGTTGCAACACCGCAACTGCTAAATAGGTCAAAGCAAGAACCAACTTGGGTGACTGACCATAAATCACACACAAAAAGCCAAGACACGAGGCCAAGGACTCCTACCGGTAAGGAGTACAGGAGCACGGCCACGAAGAGCAGCAGGATCAGCAGGAATAGCAGGCCGATGATGACCCACTTAAATCGGCGCCACACGATGAACTTCATGGTCTTACACGGGTTGGTGAACCAGAGGAAGGAGGTTTCTGGTCGGCTGCAAAAATTGCAAAGAAATGGTTTTACCTACCCAACTCGGGTAGGACAGATACTTCACCTCAGAACCTAACACAGTTTAAAGAACAGTTAATAACATTGATAAAGTCAAGAAAAGATATTATTCCCCTTAGTTGGCTGAGAAAGAGTCTTTAACATTTTATGGCCCCCTAAGATACTGAGGACACTCTGGACTTTGGTTTTATGGGAAAGGAGAAAGGTTAAAATGAAGCTGGATCACCAAGCTCTCCATCCCCCACCCCTATTAAGTGCAAAATTAAGACAACACTGAATCCATTCCACTAAGCATACTGGAAGTGGGGCTTTCAGACTGCAGGTGTTTGGGGAGAACAAAGAGGGCCTCTCACTTCGGTGGGTCCAGCTTGGGGTTCATGTTGGGTTCATCTCGTCCCTTCCCGGCTGGCCTCTCGTCTGCCTCGTTCTCATTGAGGATTTCCAATGTCATCTCCACTTTCCCCTTCAGTAAAGCAGAACAGGTTAAACACATGACATCACGTTTCACAAATATTTTCATTTCAACCCAAGGAGTATTCCCTGAGCAATGATTTTTATTCTTGTAAAACAATCCTGAGATTGCCTTAAATTTTCCTCAAGAGATTTCATCGCATTTCCTCTTCCATGTGTTTCTGAACCGACCCATTGTGGGAAACTGAGAGGACAAATAGCTTTCCCTCTCCCTGCTCCCTGCTTTTCATTCTCTGTGCCCCATCCTCTAACTTTCTCATATCCATCTCCTTGCCTTCTCACACACTGTCCTTTGTAACTTTATTTGGACCAGATTAACCTAAATACTGCTAATAACAATATGGAACACTTACTGAGCATTAACTGTGGGCTCCAAGGGAGCCTCCATGCTTCCTGCTTAACCATGCTCGCCCCACCGTACGGAGCAGGGAGGGCACTCCATGGGTACTCAGTGTACACTAGCTGAATATACGAATGAACGAGCAAATGAATGCTACGTCTGTGTTCATACAGGTTCCTAAGTGATGCCCTGGACACCGTTTAAGGCTTCTACGTGGATAACCCCATGTGATGCTCACAGCAACCCTATAAAGCAGGTACTGTGATGACCCTCATGTGCACTTGAGGATGCTGAGGCCAAAAGAGGTCTAGAAAGTTGCCCACTTTTATGGCCAGGCTTGTCACGGGCTTTCTAGGACCCTGGAATGTCCGCTAGGTCACCAACAGTCTGAGGACCCCAACCCTGACAACTGGCTCCGCGGTGGAGCCGGCTGACTCCTGTACAGACGAGTCAGACAAAATGAGGGTCTGACTATGGCAAGTCGCTGCATCTCTCCCAGTCTATTTTGGGGGTTGTTTTTTATTTTACCTAGTTCAGTAGTAGTATTTTTAAAATAAAATTTAAAAAAATTTTAACTGAAGCATAGTTAACATAGAATGTTATATCCCAGCCTGTTTCCTGAATCTACAAAATGGAGATAATGTCTACTCTCTGGAATTGTCAGTAGAACTAAGTGAGATTATCTGTAAACCACTCTTTAGTGGTAGACAACAGATACGTGGTTTCCTGGGCCAGGAGTGGAGGGAATAGTAGACTGCACAGGGCACAAGGAAACTTCTGGAGCAATGGGAATGTTCTGGATCTTGATTCTGGTGGTGGTCTCAGGAGTGTCTCTATCAGTCAAAACTCATGCAATTGTGCACTATAAATAGGTGCAGTTTATTTTATGTAAATTATACCTCAAAATTGTTTTAAAAAACGTGAGGCACTTAGCATGTTGCCTATCTCCTAATCAATGATCTAGGATGTTAGCTGTTCTTAATAGCAATACTACATGATGAATGAGGTAGTCTTCTGTGACATGCATGGCAACCTGGACTTCTGCTTCTCTGTCACAGTCTACCTGGGAGTTCTCCAGACTTGCTTATAAGTTTCGGCCTTTGTGTCCAGTGGCGGTCAGGGCTCCCTGCTTCCTCCACCGTTTTAAATTTATTTTTTTTAAACAAAAAGAGTTTGAATTTGAGGTTCCTTTTTCTGTATTGAATTGTACTGAAAGCTCAGAATAACTTAGCCTTCCCGGTGAAGGAGGGTCCTCAGGAAATGGTGTAGCCACCCAGGGTCCTGGCTTTTCTACCATTCCAATCCCTCCACCTTCCACACAACCCCAAACATATGCTCACGGCATCTGCCACCTTCTCTTGTGATCCCAGTACAAACCATTCCTGTAACTTAAGGTCTCACCAGTTTAACACTTCCTTATCTTATCTGGCATCAACTGAGAGAGGGCAGAGCCTAAATGACAAAAGGAATGAATGACCCCGAACTGGGAAATAGTCATACAGCCATCACACGGGAGCCATCTTTATCTGCATAGCACGGCCACCAGCCTTTCATGGACTTCTGCTCAAACAATGAGGCAGTTTTTGCTTTAAGGGGGTTCATGGCTTTGAGGTCTGGAATCATGTCCAAACTGCATTTCTCTGATGATTTTGCTGGAATGATGGTGCGATGCAAGTCAAGTTCCAGGAAACCTAGCCAAGGAAACAATTAGACCCAAATAAGCTTCAATGGATCAGCCGTTGTTCACAAGTGAACAGAATGTTCTTGTCAGAGGAGAGGCAGACAGTGATTTTGAGCAGGTGATGGGTAAGTTAGAGAAAGGGATCCTGGTAGACATTTAAAATTCCTTCCAGATAGGATGGAAAGTGGTAGAAGAAATGTCTGTCCACTGCTCTGCATCTCACAGAGGGTGACACGGTTTATTTCTCAAAGATACAAACATAAACAGAGCTCTTCTACAAGCTCAAAAGAATTAAACATCTATAGACTAGATGTCCACTAAACGCAGATTTGGAATGTGCTCATAGTGGTCTCAAGCTACCCTGAACAGAAGCACTGTGAGCGCGCAGGCTACGTGTGCTTGTTTAGGAGTCGTATCTTGCGAAAGGTGAACATTGAAGCTTTTTACCTTCAACTTAGGAGGGGCTTGGTAAATTGATGAGGGGGTTTGGGGAAGAGCCAAAGAACCCCAGGGAAGGCAAAGGTCTGCATATAAAGAGTGGGAAGGAAAACAGAGCAGCCCAATGAGGCAGACCCAGGGCCTGGGAGAGGGGAATTCAGAAGAGTATTATGTTATTGTGGTGGTGATGGGGCATGTGTACCAAGAAAGGGAAGGGCCCAAGGTGGGGGCTGTTTAACAAGTGCCTTCAACCACAGAGGAGGATGGACCCGGGGAAAGAACAAGGGCTGGTGACATTAAGGGATTGAGAGCAGCTCAGAGGAGGAGGGAGCCAATTCCAATGTGCTGAGGAGACAAAGTGGGTAGTCTGGATGTGGAGACAGGGCTGAGGCATTCCCTTGTGGAAACAGAGTGGTCATGGCAAGACAGGAGCTGGTGCAAGAGCCTCCTTGGGGGCCCTTGAAGGTGGGTGGGGCCTGCAGGAAAGGGTGATGTTCACTGTGCGAAATTTTCAGAGGGCTTGAGACAGCAAGCAGGTAGGCCACACTGCCCAGAGGACATCCAGGCAGTGAGTGTGCCCCAACCCTTAATTATCCACGGTACTGGAGATTTAAATCATTGATTCCGGATTTTAACTGATTTCACTAATTCCAAGTAAAATTTCTTAGAGAAAAGTATCCAAATGTAAGCCCTACCCAAATAGTCATCCAGAGAAAACTTGTCATTATCCCATATCTGAATGATGAGTCTGGGTGGGATCCGAAATTCAGTTTGGTCAATACTCCAGAAATGCTCCTAAAATGACAAGAGAAACAGAAAAACCAAATGACAGGGACTACTGGACTCTGAAACCTTCCCCTCGGGTCCATTGAAACCCCAGCATCAGGGCACGGGGCCTTTGTTCTCCTCGGCAACCCACCTCTACTACCCTCTCCCCCCTTGCCCTCAGTCCTCTACCCCATGGTATGGGAAATCTCAGGGCCACCAGCTAGGTGACAAAAAGGTTGTCCCAGGCAATTCCCAAACAGAAGGTTTCCCGCCTGCCATGTTCCTATCGGTATGACTCCCTGCTTCCACTCCTGGGGTTTGGGGAGTGATTGTATCTGCCCCCTCCCCCACCCCAGACCACTATGGCCTGCTCAGATTAACCTCCCAAAGCCAGGCTGTTCTAGGCCAGCCCACGCTAACACCTGCTGGGGTGTCACATTTGCTCAGTGACCTTCTACCCCCCAACATGGATGTCTGAGCATACTTTTCTCACATGGGGGTGAGGAGACTGGGGTTCAGCTTTCATGTTTTATCAGCGCAGATTTAAAATGTCCTGACATTTTTGGCTTTTAAAAATATTGCTGTGTTTTACATGCTTTGGTCAACCCAGATTCCTCATTCTAAAGTTAGGTGGAGGGAGGATTGGGTAAGGGTCCTCCACGTTCTCACCTCTGGTCTCTGCCTCTGCCCGAACAATATTAGCCAAACATAATAACACCTCCACAGCCTAATTACACCTACATGCCTCGGGCCCCAGCAGAATGGGCTTCCCCCAGTGTTTCATGAATTCAAAGGAAGATGGTTGGGTTGTTTCTTGTTTTTCCTTCCCTTTTTCCTTTTCTTGGAGCGGGGAGAGGGAGAGAGAGAATCTTAAGCAGGCTCCATGCCCAGGCAACCAACTTGGGGCTCGATCTCACAACCCTGAGATCATGACCTGAGCCAAAATCAGGAGTCAGACTCTTAACTGACTGAGCCACCCAGGCGCCCCTGTTTCTTGTTTTTCAGATGACATTCCAGAAATGTTGCCCTTTGCAGGGCTCGGGGGCCCTGGCTCTGAGGGGCTAGGAAGCCCATTCTGCTGTTGGCTGGCCTCACTGACTATCCTGTGTGGGGTCACGCTCCAGGTGGCATGCAGGGCACTGAGAGGTCCAACACTAGATGTGGGTAGGTAGGAAAGGCCTACCTGACTCTAAATCCCTCACCTTCTCACTGGTCTGCCTCACCATCTGGACGTGTGCTTGATTTGACATCAGGTTGAGCCTGTGTCTCTAGAAAGTGCCCTTTGAAGGCATTTATCTCACTTGGCACGGAAAATTGCTCCCTACACCAGCAGCACTGAGTAGGGCCAGCAGAGGGTAGGGTCTGGCTAGGTGGGACATGAGGCAGGTGCATTTTGATCAGGTGTGGCGAGAGGAGGTGAACAGGCAGAGCTGGGAAAAGTTTATAGAATGTGGGAGAGCAGGAATGGGGCAGGGGATCTATAAAAGACACCTCTCATTATTGCCTGCCCAGATTTCAGGCCCCCTTTTTGGGGAAAAAGCATCCAGATTTTCCTTGGGGACTCTTCTCCAGTCCATGCAGGTTGGGAAGAACGGACTCTGTTCCTAACTCCAGAGCTGGGCCAGTCTGAGCACTGCATCCCAGGCCACGTTGGTTGGTTCAGGGATGGGTACGTGACCCCAAACACACAGAGACACCGAGGCCCAATTCCAGAACTCTGGTTGGCACCATCCGGGGTTAGTTCTCTTTCTGCTGAGATTGCTGGGAGGCCAGGAGGTGGGCTGGGGCTGTGGGCAGCCATTTTGCCTCACCAGGGAATGAGGTCCATAGGAGAGGACAGAGAGAGGGGTGGAGAAAGTGAGAGCAATTCCTAAAGACAGCAGTTCAACCTGGGATCCAACGTTCCTAAGCCAGCCAAACCTGGACTTTTCAGTAATGTGAACTAATAAATCACTTTTTTGATATAAGCCAATTTGAGTTGAATTCTGTAACTAGAGTCTTACTAATTAAGACCATGAGGGCCTTGAACCTTCATGGAAGTGCTTCTGAAGGAGGTAAAGCAGATGCTAAGGTTTAATAAAGAAGGTAAAAGGGAAATTTCACCTACTTTAATATCTTGCCTCTGTTTGGTTAATGAGTCAAACATGGGAAGAAATGAGCTTATCATGGGAAGAAATCAGTCTCCCTGTGACATAAAAACATACTTGGGTGGTTGCATATGTGAACACAAGATCCTCAGGTTTACCCTTTACTAAATCCTATACCCTGCTGCCCACATGTTAGGGAAGGACAATTGTGTTTCTGGTCCTTCCGAATTGCACAAAGAGCTGTCTAAGCTTTGTGGCCCTAGGCAAGTATCTGCACCTCTGTGGGTCTCAGGTTCCCCACCTGCACCGAGAGGGAGCCAGACTCATGACCTCGGAGGCTCTGAGCAGCTCCTACATTCCCTCTATCTGGCGAAGCAGACCCAGGACACCCACCTCCCACGGGCATAGATCAGAACTCACTTTTTTAGCAACGATACAGAGTTGTTCAGCTGGGAGGTAGTCAAATGGGAAAACAAATCTCCAGTTAAAATTCCCTTCACCATCCAAGGACCTGTAATGGACATCTGTTTTCTGTTTGTTTTCTTCATTGCCAGGAATCCAGCTGAAAAGCAGAAGCAAACAGACTTTAGCTTCATGTGATTGACAAGTAATCTAGCCGCAAAATTGTGCAGTGATTAGGGGAGTGAAGGGCAGGAGAATTAATGCACTTTTCTTGGGCAGGTTCCAGTTATCTACAGAGCTGGGGGTGATTTATGAAGGGGAGGTACTCTGTTGCATCCAACACTGGTTGTAGCCAAATAAAATATAATTCCTCTAAAACCAAAGCAGGAAACCCTTTAGACTTCAGTTAGCGGGGATAAGGTGACATTTTCTGGAAAATATCAACAACTTATCTTCTATTTTGGGAACGCTGAAGCTTGCTGGCTATGATGCTAGTCTTCCTAACTATAACTCATCAGTGTCTGTCATCACTGCTGATAGGCTTAATGAATATGAGTTAGTTCAAAATTTTAGCATTTCCTCTTCCATATTTTACTTAAGCAAACAAAACAGGCATGACTCAAGTCATCTTACGGCTTCCTTTTTTTTTTTTATTATTCTTAAATTCACTATGATCGCATTAATAAGACTAGCAAGGGAGATGTAAGCTGTTATTTCCATGTGCATATCAACGAAAATTCATTTCCATAAACAATTTAACATCTTAACTTTTGACATTTGAAAAGTTTTCTGTGGCTTGTGCCTGGCAGGTAGTAGGCCTATTGAAGGAATGAATGAACGTTGGGGGGAAGAAGCTGATGTCACATCTGCCTGCTATTGGGAAGGGGCCTGTTTAGGGACTAGGAGAACGCTGGATTTTAGACTGGTAAAGTGGCAGAGGGCATGGTTCTCCACACTGATGGCCCATGAGAATCCCATTGCAATTGACCGTGGAGTTTTAAAAAAAAGACATACCTGGACCCCCCAGATAGGAGGCAGGCCTGGCTATGAACTCACTCTGCCACTTACCATTCTGGGCTTCCTCTCCCATCTGTAAATGAGGTTAACAACATGTGCTCCCTTCCCATGGTCAACATGAGGACAGCATGGAAGATGGTGACTTAGAAGGACCAGAATGGAAAGGGCGAAATCCTTAACTGTGTTACCGATCATCTGACGTACTCAGCATGCCTTGTTTTATTCTTCCCAACAACTACATAACTAGCTCCATTTTACAGATGAGGAAACTGAGGTCCAGACAGAATAACGTCCCCAAGGTCAAGGTCACACAGCCAGTAACGGACAGAATTAAGTATTAATGAAGAAGTTGGTCTGACTCCAAAGTCCAGTCCTGTTCTTCTGCTTCAAGGGACCATGGAGACTACTAGAAAGTCACATGCTAACGTTAGATCCTATTATTAGTAGTGGTATTGATATCAATCAACTACAATAGTTGTCCTTTTTGCTAGTTAATTAACTGACTAGCTAGATTAGTTGAAAGGTTCATCTTTATTCACTTTTAAGCTTTTAAATTAACTGGCGGAAGAGAGTTCACACTCTTTGGCCAGGACCTTGGTGACTTCACCTCCTGACAAGATGCCCAGAGTGCCATCATCCTCCTTCCTCAGATCACTCACCCCTTGAAGCTCTTCACTTTTTTTTCCTGAATCTTTTCATATTGAATTCTAAATATGAATCTTTTCACATTTTTATTTTAAAACAAGTTAAACAACGACTCTATGCATTTGTGTACACATATGTGTAACTTTGTATGCATCCGACCTGGGAAGTGCCTTAGCTGTCCCTTATCCTGTGGCAGACAGTAAACACTATGTGTATTAGGGTTAGTAATACCCTAATATCAGCATGCAATGGTGCCAGGCACACTATTTATGCATAATTCATCTTTTCACATATAGTATTTAGATTTTAATTCCAAATAGGACATGGTACTTTAGGTTGTGCTTTTATTCTTTGATTAGAGTTTTCTCTCAGTCCAGTATTCCTTGCGTTTGTTTCTCTGATTTGAAAAAAAAAATAATGCTTATGACAGTCAAATAAATTTGCATATATATATATATATATATATATAATTAGCTAGGATTAGTTTTCCTTGGGGAATGGTAATAAGATCCTGAAATGGGAAAGAATAATGAAGAACTTGATGAAACATTCCCCGTTTACAGTGAACCCAAATGATAGTAATTATGTCTTCAACAAAGTTTTGATTGAAGGCCACTTGGGATCATAAGGGAAACTCTGTTATCACTTTATGAATATATTAAATTTCAACAAGTCTTGTCTTTTACATATCAAAGAACCAAACTTGGTCTATGTGGAATAGTAATCCTACTAGCTAACTAGTTCATTCTCTGTGTTGGCATGACTGGCCACAGGGTGCCCGGATGACACATTATTCTGGGTGTGTCTGTGAGGGTGCTTCTGGATGAGATTAGAACCTGGACTGGTAGAGTCAGTGAAGTAGACTGCCCGCCCCGGTGTGGGTGGGCCTCATCCAATCTGTTGAAGGCCTGAAGAGAACAAAAAGCAGAGGAAGGAGGAGTCAGCCTCCAGTTCACCACCAGCTTTCCTGAGCCTCCAGCTTCCAGATGGCAGAACCACGGGACTTCTCAGCCTCCAGAATCATGTGCGCCAATTCCTTTTAACAGACTCCTCTCTCTCCTTCTCCCTCCCCCGACCCCCACCACACACACACTAGTTCTGTCTCTCTGGACAACTCTAATACGCATAGTGTTTACTCTCTGCCAGGCACTGTCCTAAATGCTTTGAGTAACTCAATATTCTGAATATCCCAGAGCAGCAGGTACTATCTTTATCTGCATTTTGCAGATGGGAAACCGCGAGCTCACTAATTTGCCCAGCTGGTAGAGAAAATACCAGGATTTCAACCCAGGTAGTTTGGCTCCAGAGTCTGGCACTTTAATCACTATGCCATTCTGTACTCAACCTCTCTGATCGGGATATAACATGAAACTAACACCAGCATGGATTATTTGGAATTGAACGATACAAGTAACAGGATGATTACGGCTATGACACTTAATATGTTGGATGCAGGCATTCCATAAATGTTGGTGGAATCAAAGATTTTTTTGGAAATATGCTAAAGTTTCTTTTCCATGGACATTAGCTGCTGGTAGTAAAATATACAGAAACTGAAATTTAAAAAGCCTTCCTTGTGTTTCTAGGGCTAGTTACTCAAGGTATCAAAAAGGAATAAAATGAACTGCATGACTAAAAAGAAAGAACAAGGCTGCTAATAAACTGAACCCACTTTAAAAGAGAAATGTAGAAATATTTATCGGTGCTAATAGTCATTCGATACCTCTGCTTATAAACAAGATCCATACAGATTTCTCTTCTCTTTCTGTTCTCTCTCCGTGTGTCTCGCTGGAGCTTCCTGAGCAGACTGCACGAATGGAATGAAACAGCTTCCCCTTACCAAGGATTCTAGAGAGGACACCTTGAATAATGGTAACTCACGAAGGAGAGAGTCCCTTTCATTCCTTGTCTGTCAAAGGCAAATGAGCATGCTAACCTTACCCTTTGACATAGATGTCACTCATTTCCTCTCCTGTGATGCTCTTCTCATCCAAGAGAACGTCCTTGGTATTCCAGATGATCACACGCAGATAGTATCTGAAAGGAGCACATTTTGAAGGTGGGCTTTTTTCTCTGCTCCTGCACCAAGACCCCAGTCCGATATAGTAGAGTCTCAAGACTACTTACTTTTTGGCTTTCCTGGGGGTGATGTTGAAAGGAGGGCCTGGTGGCCCCAAACTCTTAGGGAAAACATCTACCCACATCTGAAGTTTCCCCTAAATCGTTCAAAAATGAAAAAAGAAATTAAGTGGCAGAGACTATAACTTTCTTTCATATTTTCTAGGTGAAACTGTTTCTTCAGGCCTGCCCATCTACTAGTCCATATGGAAAGTAAAAAAGTAGAGCAGAGGAGCAAACCGAGATAAATCATCTGTCTTCACTGTCATTTAGGCCACCCACTTCCCACTCTCACCAGGAGTCTCTGATGGCTACATATGCCCACCTTTGTCATAGTCTGAGCACCCCCTGGCTAATAAAAAGAGGGCTTCCCATCACTAACCCAACCCCCAACACACACACACACACACACACACACACACACACACACTCATGTACCCTCTTACAAATGACTTGAAAGTTGGATCCTTCACTTAGAACTCTATTCATCACGTTGCCTACTTGTTCTCAGTCCTGATTTTGTGACACCCAAGGGTTTCTCCACTTACCTCCAGATAAAAAATCAAAATAATGTAAAATGGTATTTAATTTATAAAAGAAAGACTTACAACATGGCACTTTCAAAGGAGAGACCCCAAGCAACAGCAAGAACAGTACTGTTCCCCAAAGTTGAGGACTCCCTGACATCAGCTGGCTGGTGTCCACCACCTGGGAGGAGGCTTGCAGGAAGGGGAAAGGTGAAAGCCCAAAGAACACTTGTGGTGCCATCTTGGGGAGGTCCTGTCAGGTCTCCCCCTGCCACAGACCAGGGCCATCTATCTGACTAGAATGTTCTTCCAGACAAGCTAGGAATGCCATTAACAAACCACATCAGCCATATGAACCAACTTAAATTCCCCAAACTGTTTTTGGATGTTTTTTAGACTATACCTTCAGACTGGTCTTTAAGAAGGTTACCAAGGAAACTAGATTGGCTTCTTATGCACGGTGATCAAAATGAGTTAAGTGGAACTCTTGAAAAGGGATAAGTTTTCCTCTGGTCCTGACTCTCCTCTAACTAATCTCTAGGGCTCAAGGTAATGTATCAAGCATGATGCAGAACATGAGGCATCTGGGTGTCTCCTAAGACCCAGCCACAGTCTGTCCAGTCCAGTAGGTAGAAGTGATGGGCGGGGGGGGGGCACATGGAGGGGAGGTGTGGATTCGTAGAAATCCTCCTCACTTTGTAATTTCTTGAGACTTTATTCAATTGAGGGGTGGGAAGGGAGAGAGGAGAAGGAAAGAGGAGGGCTCTTTGCAGGGAAGGAATAAATAAGAAAAGGACGAAATGAAAACGTGGAACAGAATAAAAGCAAGAAATGAGTGACAAAATAAACTAGTAAGCCCAGGCTACTTGCGGCCACTTTTTAGAGATAAGCTTGTCCACTGCTGTGTGGTCATTGTCAACAATATTTGCATCCATTAGATTACTATTTCTTTAAGTGTGATTTCCTAGCCACCTCCATTAGAACCCCTCCAGGTACTTGTTAAAACTCAGATTCCGCCTCCCTACCCCCATCTCAGACCTACTGAATCTGAATCTCTGCAGGCATGACCCAGGTCTTCCTTGTAACAAGCTTCCACGCGGATTATTCTGTCATTTGCCATGTCTCTCCTTGCTTTTCAGGAAACTGCTCCCCAGCTCCTGGGAACTGACCCTCCTGCATCACTACCCATGTGGTCCCTGTGATGAGCCACCTGGTGCACTGTGGCTCAGCTTCCTCCCTGGCTCTTTGGCCTCAGACATACCACCTCACCCAAGGGGGGCTGAGCACAGTGTTTCCCCAGCTGCCCACCAGGCCCCGCCCACCAGCGGTGGACAGTTGGGCCAAGCTGGGGCAACCAACCCTTTCCCTGTTTGGAAGTAGATGGGGCTACATTATAACACAAAAACCTTAGAAATGCTCTACAATATTCTGGCACACAGAAAGGTGATCACAGGAAAAGTGCAGACTAACAGAGATTCAGAGAGAGAAACAGACAAGAGACGGGGAGAGATCCTGGCCCAAGGTTGTTCTGAGCCATAGTCACCCCTCCTGTCTGGATTTAGTGAGTTACCTGGAAATTCTTACAATAAATTCCCCTTTGGGATAAAGCTAATCTGAGTTGCTTTTCTATTTCTTGTGTATCTAAAAGTGTCCAAAAGAGAGAAAAGCAGCAAATCTGGGTCAGCTCCTGCCACTGTGTTTGGGATGTGGATGATGGGTCTTCACAGGGAGGGCTCTTTTACCTGGGAAATGTTGGGCTGGAAGGTGCTGTGCAAAGTCCTGGTTTCCACGTGCTCAGGGACCAGTCCCTGAGTCCTGAGGATGTGAAGGGCAAGACGCTCATCAGGGGCCCCGAGGTGCTGGTGCAGGATTTTGTTGGCTTCTGGAATGGAAAATGGCATTGAAACAGGGATGGGCATCTGCAAACCGTTCAGCCAGATTGCCCTGAGGGGCACGTAGCCCTTCATCCCAGAAGGGCAAACTGGGCAGGCAGGGTCAGTGTGTGGACTTGGATCTGTGAAGGAGTCATGGATAGAAAGATCTCTTGACCATGGGCCCTGCCCCAACCAGTCTCACACCTGACTTGGGGGCTGCCAATAGCAAAGGGGCCAGAACACACCAGAATGTGTATGTGAGAGCAGCCTGTATTCACTTTTCTGGCAGAGGCTCACAGCCGGATTCTGTTTCCCAGCCTCCCTTGCAGTTAGGCGTGGCCACACAACCTAGTTTGGCTCGAATGTCACACAGGTAGGAGTGGTGTGTGTGTCACTTCTAGACCTGGCCCGTAAAACCCTCTCATGAAAGATATTCTAGGTGCTGTTCCCTTTTGGATGCAGAAGAAACAGCCACTTCAGGTGCCTGAGTTGAAGAAGAGCAGAGCCGCATGATGGAAGGGCCTGGATCCATGATGCATTGCTGCCTGTTGGGATACCGACTGCGAATTTCAGAGAAATAAACTAGTGTTTTAAGCCACTGACATGTGGACGTTTAATTGTTGCAGCAGCTAGCATTACTGTGGCATTTTAAAACCAACCCTCAAATTCTCTGACGCTTCTCCCACCGAGAGGCGGAGTCTCTGTCCTCTTCCTTTGAATGTGGAGACATATCTGACCCCTCAAGTGTGGAGAAAGAATGCTGTGTGACTTCTCCGATGAGGCAGGCAAGGCCACGTAGCTTCTGCTTGGTCCTCTTGGGATGCTTGCTCTAAGGGAAGCCATCTGCCATGTAGGGAGCATGAGTATCTAGAGACTGCCCTTCTGGAAGGGCCTGAGGAGGTGTTCTGATCGTTAGCCCCAGCCAAGAGCCAGCATCAACTGCTGGCTGTGTGTGCAGGCCATCCAGGACACCTCCCCCCACCTCCATCCTGGACACCCCGCTCCGTCAAGCCTTTGGATAACCATAGCCCTTCCAACATCTGACAGCAACCAACCACATGGGCTACTCAGGTGAGAACTGCCCAGTGAGCCCTTCCTGAATTCCTGACTTGCAAAACCGTGAGCAAAACAAAATGGGTGTTTTTCAGCCGCTAAGTTGTGGCGTGATTTGTTAGGTATCAATAGCCTTGTTACTGAGACAGTTTGGGGGGAGTTGTTTATTTGGGGGTACTCTTAAATAAGGCCACGTTGCTTGCCAGTTAATTCCCAATCCCTTTTGCAAGTTCTTATGTTGACAGCAACATCAACAATTCCTAAGTATCTCATCATCCCTGGTATTGACTCAGTCCTCTTCAAGTGGAAGGACAAAACACAGTTTCTTGCAATGTTGGGAATAAACAGTTGAGGATCAGGAAAGCACTTTTACTGCCATGGGGCTGTATTCAGCTCCCCCTGGAGACCCTGTGCACCCTCCAAGGCAAGCCCCACTGCCACCAGCTCTGGGAAGCCTCCCTCCCTACAAAACACTGAATAACACTGTAGCTCTTATGCTCTATTAAGCTTCCTTCAGGCTTTGTCGTAGTGCAGCTAGCTGGCTATGTGTCAGGACAGATTGTATTATAAATTACGGCCGGAGAAAGCGCAAGATCCCAAGCTCAGATGTGGGCCAGATGTGAACTCAGAAGATTCTTCAGATCAACCCCCCGCATCCCTGGGCCTTCTCAGAGAAGGGCTGGAAGAACGATGGACTAAGCCTGGGAGAGAAATTCTTGCACTACCACCTGAGCACTTTTGAGCTAAATTATGAGCTAATTATGCATTACACAGAAAGTAGTTCATTACCAGAACCGTGTGTTCAAAGTGCAAATGGCTATGACCTAAAAAGGTCAAGTGAAACATAAGACAGACAAGAAAATGTGTACACTTTGACACGACAAGACAGCAGAACTCTGCTATAATGGGGCTTTTGTTAGACAGTCACGTGTGCGGAGTCTCCTGTGGTATAATTTAGGGCACTGCTCTGCCCATTCCCCCCCACCCCCCGCCCCCAGAGCGGACCTAGCAATAGAGATGGGTCGCTTTACTTTGTAACCAGCTTGCGGTCTCTGGTTATGCACTTACCGAATTCATCCAAACTATAGTCTCGCCCTCCGTATCTGATTCTACTTCCATCTTCAGAAAGGATGGGTGGTGGGAAGCCTTTGTATCTGGCTACATTTTGAAGCAACTGTGTTGGTCTCAGCTGATCTCGCCAGGTGTTTACTCCAGAACTGTGAAGAACATTCCACACCCAGAGTTACCGTGGGCACACAGGTCCTTCTTGGATTCACACGCATATACTCATATACTTACAGACACGCCCACGTAACGAGGGAGCAGGGACTGTGCTCTACCCTCTGGCTCTTGTCTAGAAATCTATTTCAGACCTAAAATCCACAATTACTTTGGCCTCAGCCAGTGGATCCTTTCCCTCCTCCCCGCAATTTCCTCCTCCATAAAAATGAGGGGTTTGCCTACACGCTGTAATCACAAAAGCAAGCTTATAAACTAGAAATTGCAAGCTGTATCTCATTAGGTATTGTAGGAAGATGCCAAACAGCACTTAGGGAAAGACGGACATCACAAAATTCATCAGGGGTGGGGGGTGGGGGCAATGCTATGTCCCTCTTCTCCCGAAGATAGTCCTGTTATTAAAAACAATATGTATCTGATGCAAAGGAGCAGGGGCTCAGGGAAGACAGGCACTGAAACAGAGAACCAAGGCTTCCCCACATACTGATGTTGGATGGAGCAAATTATCTCCATCTGTGGCCCAAGCAACTTACACACAGTATTGCTCCGGGATGCCGCAGTGGGACCCAAACCGGGAAAGGAATCGGTTTTCCAAATCAATAATTGTTTCTCCCACCTTTTCATCACGAGTAAAGGTGTCATAATCATAGACAGAAATTTTCAGATCTTTTTCTTGAGGTAAGTAGCAGCTCAGTTCGTACATTCTAAATAAACAAATGCAAGGTTAGAATATCCATGATTCTATGTAGACCTCTCAAAAAAAACCACAAAAAAACCTCCAAAAAACAAAAAACCCAGGGCTTTGTGCAGAGAATCCCCAGGTGGTGGTGATGGCGGCTGGAGGAGAACATGGTGACTGGGACAGCCAGGTTGGGGGGGGGGCAGTGGGTGGGGGCACTTGACAAGCAGTCCATGTTAGTAATAAGAACAATACAAGGTTATATGCTTGCTCAGGGGAAGAGCACGGCTTTAAATATCTACGTTTGAATCCCAACCCTGCTGCTTACTAGC